TATTGTTCAATAAGCTTAAAATTTGTATAAATGGACCTGTTAAACTCTATCGAAGAATCCAAACTCGCATTAAATTTATTTTTGGAAAATCGTTTCGATTTGGCTGAGAAAAAGCTGGCAAAGTTTGTAGATTGTTCAATATACCATTCATTGGGGAATGGTTTATTATTAATGATTAGAGCCTTGATGAGCTTCGAAAGGAATGATATTGATAAAGCAATTGAAGCTATTGATAGGGGCCTTTGCTTGATTCAAAAATTTAGAGGGAAGCAGTGTCGAACAATGTAAGAATCGCTTTATTAAAACCTTTTAACTTTGTTTCTGAACTGGCGAATATATTCTGACTAACCTAAAAAGGATAGGCTAATTAATTCAGGTTACCTTAGAATGGGTAATTATGATCAACGGGACCTAGATAGAGAGTAATCAGAGGGTTACAACACAACGTACCGCGAGGCCAACGAGCTATAATTTGTTATATCTCGAGGTATAACCAAGGCGTTCCGGATTCGACTATTTTGAATGAAATTATAAATCTGCGGTACGTTGGCCTCGCGGTACGTTAGCCTGCTCTTGATATGAGAGGGGACAACAGATAAACATTTTTTCAAACTTTAATTATGAGTAGGGTTGAAATCCTCCGAAAAACCGAGGATTATTTTGGTTCAGTTCGGTTTCGGATATCAGAAAATTTCCTGGCCCTGATACCCTACTTATAAGAATAAACTATTTTATCTTAACCAAAAATTAGGCAAAAATTTAAACATAATTTTAGAGAATTGATATTTCGAATGAATGGTTATAACTATAATTTCTGTGATTATACTGAAGGTTATAAATATCATTGTAATTATTATTATATTTAATTGGCATCGACATAAAAATTTATTAAAAATATTAATTTTTAGAACAATTACACGCCGAATTGTGCTATGCAGAACTGATAATGATTAGGGCTATGTAAACACCCTTATCTGACAAATTTTATAATTAAAATAAATTTTAAAGTTTGTGCCTTTTATCCGATGAAACATTAACTGGAAAAATAGGCGGCTTATTGCGCATTCGATCCTGCTTCAGTATTTACTCGTAAATTTAATTATACTTCATTAATTTTTAAAATTAATCAGTGGACTTTATCGGTTTCTAGAGGAAAATGAAGACTCTAGAAATAATTCGTTACTGTGGCAAGAATTCGAGGCAGGTGTTTGCTTTGGGTTTGGTCTTTTTAATTTATTGTTAGCTTCAATTCCTGCAAAGCTTGCAATATTTTTGCAATTAGCTGGGCTAAATGGGGACAAGGTGATCTTATAAATTTTAAAGCCGCCTGCTAGTGGGATAGAGATTTGGATGTAAATTTAACTGCCAGGGCATAAGTGGGACTAACAGGTTTTGACCTTACTCATTGCTTTATTATTATTCTCTACATATCTTTCCATGAGTCTACGGCATACTATAAGGGAAAAATGGGCGCCACTTCAATCAGAAAAAAATGCAAGAAAAGGAGTGAAAAGTGCGTATTCTCTTTGCGGACAGGTGGGGAGTCAACTGGACATTTACCAGTTGAATTCAGTTATGAAGATGATTTAGCCTCAGCGAGGCTTTCAAGATCTCTAAAAGCATCTGAACATGGTTTAACTAAAAATCATTAGTGATTAACTATTTTATTTCAGGAGAAAGGGATTTCAGAACTTATCAAGGTTAAATTCTTATCCTTAGCCAAATAAAACACCAATATTTTAATAGTGCTCAAAATTTGATGGCACTCTACGATCACCCTTCGCTTCATTTTCCATATTATTCTATCAACTAGTTGTAGTAGCTCTTATTGGAGTTGAAAGAATAGATTTGGGGTTGTGTGAAAGGATATTTACTAAATTGAATGGAAAATATTCAAAAGTAAGGTCCTTTTTGGGAAAGATTTTGGTAGATCAAAAATGAGGAGATCTCGAGTATCGCAAGCCACAATCACCAAGCCAAGTCTCTAATCTCCATTATTAAGAATTCTGATCTGAGCTTATATTTTCGATCAGCATGACAGACCAGATACTTCCAGATACCAATTCGAAATAAAATAAAACTGGAGCAGGCCAAGGTATCGCAAGCCCATGGTACCGCAGCGCTATAACTTCGATCAAAATTGTAAAATCCGCGACGTCCTGGTATGGTTTGCTTCAGCTCGTCAAGGCGCATCGAACCATACCAGGACCCCGAATTTGACAATTCTGAACAAAGATACAGCTCTGCGGTACCTTGGGCTTGCGGTACCCTTTGGTGTATCGAATCTAACAAAATGGAAGCTATACAATCTAAGGCATAAACGGAAACTATGATATTTTGCTATGATATTTCAAATTCTCCTTTTTCCGCCAAAACATTAACATTTTAAAAGAAAGTCTTTAGGGTGCCATAATTCTCTTCTTGCGCGCTCGCTACCGTCTATTGAATGGAGGGCATATAGACGAATCAGTTCAACTTTATTGGCGTTCAATTCGTTCCCAATCAGAATATAAACAATTTCACCATATCTGCCATTGGGAATTGGCTGTAACAAATATCTTTCTATTGCATTGGACTAGGGCAGCTTGGCACGCCAATAAACTTTATGAAGAGAGTAAATGGTCAAAATGTGTGTTATGATTAATTTTAAAATTTAGAAAAATATTATTTTCTTAAAGCTATTTATGCCTATCTTTTGGCTGTATGTATTGAGGCTGATAAAAGTGGTGATATTTCAAAAAATGTATATAATATATAGAAATTTTTAGCTAAAATAATTTTGCATTTTAAATTCTAGAATGAAGCAGTTAGAATTTTAATGAGGTTAATATTACTTATAATAAGTAGTCGAGTTCTACTCCTAGTAATTTAAGATCTATTAAAAGAGAAGGTGAAAGCAGCGTCAAGGTAGCTCAGTTGGTAGAGCACCTGTACGTGGTGAGCGAAAGCGCCTAGCACGGAGGTCGCAGGATATGCCTGCCCGGGATTAAACTTTTACCTCGCTCTTACTGTATGAAAGAATTGAGTTTAGGGTAGAGGTCTATAAACCTACTCAGAATTTTAGCTACGATCTACATAGCCTTAAAAAGTACAAAATAATTAAAGCAAGGTACCCGAAAATCGTATAAAAATAGCTGGTAAGTCAATTCCAATGGAAAAATTTTGTGAAAAACGAGCTCTAAAATGGCTTCAAATGAACAACAATAACAAAGATTCTATAGAACCACGGAGGCTATTTCTGCCACAATTCGTTAGTAAATTTTAAAGTCTAGAAAATTTCTAAAATACTCAAGGAATTAATTTATTTGTGCAGCGGTTTTGGATTATTAAATAATTATTGCTGTCCTTGGATTGTTCGCCCATTGTTAGAATTTATTGACAAAGAATGGGAAGAGTTTAACAAAGGGGCTACAATATCCAATAAATGTGCTAAAGTTGAACAATTGCTTTGGCTATTTCTACGTGCGATATGTCTGGGAAAGCTGGGAGAGTTTCACGAGGCATTTGGAATATTTCAAAAAATAATTCGGAGGTAATTAATTCTAAGTTGCTGACTCTCGTTATAAGGGTGTCCTTAAGGCAATTCTCGGGAATTTTTCTAACTCCTACTGAAGGGTTTTAAGTTAAGCAAGAGTAGGGCAATTATTGGGAATTATGTCCCCTGTTGGAATTATGTCTCAACTAGAGTTGATCGAAACGATACTGGTATCGGGCAACCTGAGACCAAGATTGACCGATACTCAAGAACCCGATACCGAGACCGATATTGGAAAAAAAACCGAGAATCTCGGTATCGGTCTCGGTATCGGTTTCGTCTTGATCGAGTCTAGTTTCAGCTATCCTTCCTAAGGATGTTCAATTTAAGCAAGGGACCATGCTTCAGCGGAGGGCTTCATTTCACTTATAAGATATCTTTTTACTGTAATTTTGATAAAGTTTAGCTATAACTGCTCATTAAACGTGGGTATAATCAAAATCATGAGGGTATCTACATTGAGATTATAACTAGCACAAATTTATTAATTCCAAATTAATAATTCAAGTTTCAGCGAATCCCCAGCACTTCGTCACGGCCAATACGGATATTTATTTCCCATTGCTCATTTGGAACTAGCACTAATATTGAATGAAATTAATCCTTCTGAACTTAAAAAGGTAGTTCTTTTAGAAAAGGCTCTGGCTTATAAAGGATATGGACTTGAAACTCGAACAAGATTAAGAATACATTCAGCAATGAATAAATTGGAAGAAGGCAGAGAAAATATGGAAAAAGTTAAGACTAGAGGTTCGAGTTGTACCCCGACCCCGTTCCCGGACGATTTTTTCACGTTTCTCCTCTACCCGAACCCCGCCCCGAAACAACTCAAAAACCCCGTACTCCGACATACCCGCCCCCGAGCGTTCGGGGTACAACCCTAGTATTAATGCTCAAGAATGTAAGATCTATTAGACATGGCCCTAAGTAGTCGTAGAATGTGAACACAATTAGAAATTTAATTATTAATTTTATTGTATATTTTATCACAGTTTAAATGAATTTTTAAATAAATTTTAATAATTCATTAAATGTCAAAACACTAATCTAATTGTGCGTTGGTCAAGAGAGAGTTATAGAGGAGAGGCACTCGTAGATATTTGAAATCCCCTTGAAGTTTGGTGCTCGAAACCAAGGTGAAGGTCCTCCCCTATAAACTTGAGGGCACACACCGAGGTACCGCAGAGTTATAACTTCGTTCAAAGTTATAACTTCGAATCCAGAACACCCTGGCATAGCTCGATCACGTCACGAGCAGAGTCGAACTATACCAGGGCGTCCCGATCCGACAATTTTGAACGAAGTTATGGCTCTGCGGCACCTTGGCCTGCTCCCAAACTTCGAAGTTGCGCTTTAAGTGTGACCTCAATCGAGGCCATGCTCCTTGACCAAAGATCAACCTACTTTCTAATAAACATAAAAATCACTCCTTAGTTTCTTCCATCTTTGGAATTTCATCAAAATGAGAAGTCGATTCATCCAATTGGAGCATTCTAAAGCTTTCGAGCTCAATAGCTGTTGTGGTAGTTGAAGGAGTTGTTGAACTGCTTGTTGGCACAATTGTCGTTACCTCTCCATTCTGTTCAACTTTTTGTTGTCCCCCCGTTTTCCACACACGTACCCAACTTCTGTGCCAATACGAGCTTTTTGAGCCATAACGCCTCCACCAAAATAACCTTCATAAAATGGGAGGAAAAAGGGTATAAAATGAAAAAATATATTTTTGTTATCAATGTTTAGATGGGGTACTAAAATTTTTTACTTGCACTCGAACCCTCGTCCGCGTCTAATACAAGCAAAATCGAAATTTAAAAGGACTATTGTCATTTTCACATTTTTATTTTAATATTAATGATGTGACAGTTCTAGTGATAAACACTTAGAATGAACTGTGACATCATTGAATATTAATCACCTCTCTTTGATCGTGTTATATCAATATTTGGAGATTCATTTTGTTGTAAAGGCAGTTGAAAATCTAAAATTATTAGCGTAAATTTTTTAGAATTGTTTAATACATAGATGAATTGGAGGCAAAATATTGAGGGTATCACTTAGATCAAACCTCATCCCCTGGAAATCAGATTTAAAAATGTTGACTTAAGTGAGTATTAATCCATTAAATGACAAAACTTTAATTTAATATGATTTTTCCTTGGTCAAGAGTCGAGAATATCGCCGATTTCTCAACCTTAAACATGATCTTGGTTTTTTAGTGTGAACGATTTTGAACGTTTGGCTCAAAGGTTTGGTCCAATTTATACATTAAATCTGATTTTATCAAAAAAAAAGCACCTCTTTTAAATCTCATTTGTGCTTTTAATAATACATTATCTGCTTGCAGTCTGTTTGGAAATACTGATGAATTTGTATCATTAAATATAATTAAGAGCAGAATTAATGGAATTAAAAAATTAAAAGCTATTGAAGGGGAAAAAGAAGAAATTAAATAATTCCTGTTCAATCTCATTTATCTGCTAAAAATAATTAAAATTAAAGTTGATATCGGTGGGGATTATTACGGTATGAGAGAATTAGTGAATGCCTCTTTTGAGAGAATTAAAATTTTCGAGAAAAAGCATGACAGAGTTCTTAGGAGATACGACATGTCTGATATCGAGATAGGAGAGAGGCAGTTCTCGATGTTTAAAGAGAGATATCTTTGAGCTCGATCGGAATATTTTTACGAGTGTTTGGATAACCATAACTCTGATATCGAGATAGGAGAGAGGCAGGGTATCACTTAGATCAAACTTAAGTTCTAGGGTTTTCTAGGTGGATTAGCATGTGCTAGACTAAGCATTCCTTAGAAAATTCTCGGAGTGCGTAAATAAGCTGAAAAATTCCTTGGACATTCAGTTCGGTCTGACCCTTAAAGGCACTTGGAAACAATTATGTGTCATGTAAAGATTATAAAATTATTTGTTATTATTTAGGCTGTTGAGAACACGTAAGACGATATTAGTAATTAAATTCGAAGCCTTCTATAAAGCTTCGAGTACCGTATTTGCTCTAGTAATCCCCCAGGGGGATTATTGTTTCAACCCATCTCGAGGGTGGGGGATTAATAGAGCCTGGGGGATTAATAAAGACTGGGGGATTAATAGAGCAAATACGGTATATTAGAGTTGGGCGGTATTTGGATCCCTAAACAAAATCGGTATCGGTATTTTGGAATGATGATACCGATCTCGATACCGCCCAACTCTAGGGTATATTCTGTATAAAAACTAAGTTTTTTGAATAAATTAATGTTAAAAATTTTAGAATGAAGCTAAACCAAAATATTAAAAAATATTTATACTTTAAATAAAAAATATAACCTTGTTTTCACAAAAAAAACAAAGGCTTAAATTAATAGCTAATTAATTAGGGTTAAAATATAATTTTAAAATTAATTATCAAGTGTTACGCGGAATTTTTTCTCATTTTATTTAAGCAGAAAAATTATTTTAATCTTTAATTTCTAGTCAAAAATTATAAAAAAATTTGTTAAAAATAAGGGGAAAATGATGAAAGGAATGAAAAAATTATTTTAGCGTCTAGCGTCGGTGACGTGAAAATTGTGACGAAATTTAACTAATGATAAAAAGTGATAAGAAAAAATTTTTTTTTAATTTTTTCTGACAAAGGCTTGCTTGGATTTATTAATTTATATATTTATTACAAAAAATATGGACGGACAGGACGGACCATCAATCCATTCCCTACCCACATTAATTAATGAGAGGTTTTTGGGCGCGAATTTTTTGGCGTCGTATTTTTGATTCTTTGTTTAACTTGGTAAACTGGCGAACTTTTATTTTTGTGCCATTTTTATTAACATGCTAGGCAATTAATTAGGCAGATTTTTAAAAGGAAGGAGTTGGGTTGTGTTATTCGAGTCGCCCAATTCGAGTCATTTTTCGGGCCTCATTTGTTTGGGCTGGCCCGACCGAGTCTATTTCGGGCTTCATTTATTTTTATCGGGCCGGCCCGACCATTTTCGATGCCCGACTCTATCTTTAGGATCGGACAGGACCGGGCCCCAACATAGGAAGGAGCATCAACGCGGATATACCTATACCGTAGTTGTTCGATTACCTCTCTCTCGTTCGGTTATGTCTCCGATATTTTAAAAACATCTTTGGGATAGTAAATTAAGTATTAGAGAGTGTCAAACACGGTAAATAAATTCATATCATACTATATCACCTGAATATATTTTCAAAAATTTTAAAGTTCATATGACTGTATGGGAAAATTACGGAAAAAATTTTAAAAATTTTCTTAGCGAGGCAAAATTAATTAACGAAGATTAAATATCTGTAAGTAGCTCCCTAAAATATAATGCTAACTTTCTGTTTGGCCGTAACTTTTAGGCAAATAAAAATTCTATAGATGTCTGATAGGGTTTTTTACTTAGAAAATTTTAAAAATTGAAATGTTGATTAAATTTAAAAATTAAAATTTAACAAAAATCTGCGCCAAAATGCCTTCAACAAACGCAATCGTCATTAAAAACTTCACACCACACATATTTAATGCGCGACCTTATGATGAACAACATATGATGTGTAGTAATTTTAATGACTTCACCGGTTAATAAATGAATGGAATGGAAGAAAAATGATGGAAGATGAATTGAATGTGAATTTAATGATAAGAAAAAATTCCAAAATAATAACAATTTTTAGGCAAAAAATGTTTATGTTTGTGATTGAATTTTAAATTTGAAGAGAAGGGGACAATATACATTTTAAATTGAAAATAAAAATTGTTGAGGTTATACATACACCCAGGCTTGGACTGTCGTTATAGGGCTTTCAAAAATAATTTTATGCGATATCTCGGCAAATCTCGATCTATATAACCAAGATTTTCGACGAGATCTCGCCAAGAGTTTGACGTGATCAGTTAGACATAGTTCAAAATTTCACAGATAAAATAACTTGATACTCGTAATGCAAACATATACATACAGAACTTAATGTCCTTGACATTAAGCATGATCGAAAGGTGTGGGACCTTGATCTAAAGGCCCCAGGGGCAGTTAGTAATCCACTCCAAGGGAAATTAAATCAGTCTAACTAATTAAACTTGTATGGAGTGTGAAGGGTGAAGGGAGAGACTAAACCTCAATGATAACCTCAATAAATATAGAGATTTTGAACAAAGTGTTGTCAAAAAAGTAGGCACAATAACTTGAACTTAGATTAAGTCTAGTGATCGGACCATACCGTACTACGTCCTTTGTTATCGGTATTTATTGGTATTCCGTATCAGTATACGTTAAGGAATACCGATCACTAATAAAGAAACTTATTAAATTTAAAGAAAAAATAAAAATGGAAAGGTGCTTACAAAAAATGAAAGGAATTTTATAATTTAATTGAACAAAGGAAAAATTTTTTATCAGTTTAAATAGTCCAACTAAATAAATCAATTAAAAGTGAGGGTAAGGTATATTTAAATCAAAAATTTTTGGTCAATTTCACGTAAATATAAGTAAATTTTCTTCAAATTCGCGTCTGCATTGAGCAGTTTATTTTTAATGTGTTTCAGTCAATGACGTAAAATTCCGGTATTTTCTCTCTCAAAAAGTGACGACGACACAAAATTAATTTGCGCTAATTTTGTTAAAGTAGTTTTTACATGAAGGGAACATAATGGAATTTGTAGAAAAATAATTGAGTGAATTTTTGATATGGGTAAGATATAATTTCAGAAATAATCAAAAATATTTGACTCTTGTCCAGATTATCGTAGTTCCAGTTCCGGAACTAGAACTACGGAACTAACGATTATCTGGAACAAGTTTGGAACTAGAACTACGGAACTAGTAAATGCCTGGAACTAGCTTGGCCCTGGAACTACTAAACTAGTAAATGTCTAGAACTAGCTTTGGAACTAGTTCTGGAACTAGTTCTTGGGGGTATATTTTTGACAAACTTTCCTCGAAAATTACCTCCAGCGCGCTGAGTATGGAAGAAATCTGGCTGCTTGAGCACCAAAATTCTAAAAATTTTCGCTTCGGCGCTGAAAAAGTGAATTTTTTCGGCCTACGACCTTAGAAATTCTCAAAATTTTCGCCTGTGGCGCTTAAAAATGAATTTTTTGGCCTCTTAATCCTCCAGTTTATCCTCCAATCTCCTTTAATCCTCCGATATCACTCAAAATCCTCTTATAACCCAGATATCACCACAAATATCCCCAGATATCCTTTTATAAGTAAATCCCTTAATCCCTTGAAATCCTCATATCTCCCCGATATCTATTATGTAAAAATCAAAAATCCCGGTAAATTTTAGAACGGGATTTACTGTATTATCCCCGCGGCATCCTGTCCCGTAAAAAATTTGAAAAAAATCCCGTTACGGGATCCCGTAAGTGCGATTTTGCCGCACACTAAATGATTTTTTAAATAAAATTGATAAATCTTTTCTTATTCGAAAAAAATTAAAAATTTGGAACTAGAACTAGCTTGGAACTAGTTCCAGAACTGGAACTAAGGAATTTAAAAAATGGAGTTCCGGAACTGGAACTACAAAAATTAAAAACCTGGTTATGGAACTGGAACTACTAAAATTAAAAACCTAGTTCTGGAACTGGAACTAGTTCCAGAGAAATTATGAACTTTTACATCACTTGTCATATGTGTGGAAAATAAAAATAAAAATTTTTTAGTGATTTTTAAATCCCAGTCCCGATTCGTGACCGCGGATCCAAATTCCAGATACCGATTCTAGTTCGGGATCCCAATCCCGCCCAACCTAGTATAAAGGCCCGTATTAGCTTCAGACTAATTTGACTATAAAGCTGAAAATACTGAACTGATCTCATTATTCTATACAGAATGTTGTTTTGTTTAAGTAAAACTTCTCTAGATGTTTTTGTTGTAAACATATGTTTGACTTATTATTTCTTAACATTCATCTGTCTACTCGCATTTTATCGCATAATTGCCAAATCAGGCGCTTTCACTAATAAATTTTGTAGTTTGATTTATTTTAGAAAGGGCAATTTTAAAGATTGTATACAAAGCTCCTTGCCTCTCACTCACCTACATGCCCTTTATAAAAATTTTTTAATTTGTTTTAAAATATAAATAAATTTAAATTTAAATTTTAATTTTTATTATTTTAATTTAAATTTGCTTATAAATTTTATTTACAATTTAATTTTTTTTAATTATATGCTTTTTTATATTTCGGAAATTAGCGGTTATTCCGAAGACGATATTTTTGAAAATTCCCACATTGGCTCCTGACTCGGGTTAGAAAATCAATGAATAAGATTTATTGTGGGATTTGGGCGGATAATGAGTAAGATTTGAGACAACGCTATATTGTCGGGGGATTAAAAAATTAAAATATTTAAAAAATTAAAATTATTGTCGGGGGATTCCAAAGATATCGAAAGAATTATTGGGGATTTCTGAAACTAAATTATGACAAAGTTCCTTACTTAATGCATCTCAGGCGAAAATTGTGGGAATTTAGGGAGATCCTTGAGCCAAAATATTCCTTCTGGCAAAAAACTCAAATTTTTCAAGAAATCAAGAAAAGGTAATGGAAAATATCACATTTCATAAATATAAAATTGAAGAAAAAATCCCTTGAAAATTTAAATTTATAAACAGCTCTATTTATTAACAATGTTAACAAACGAGGGGATTTATTATCAAAACTCCAAGTAATGAATACAACCGATTGTAAGTCCTATGTGCGATGTAAAACTCGAGGTCCCATTACTGTTATATTCAAAAAACATTAATTAAAGTTAAAAATATTTAATTTTAAAAATATTATGTATTTCTTAACATGTTTATATGCACTTTGAAATAATGCCCTTTAACGTCTGTATTTTTGTCGGTAAAATTTTTTAATTTTAAATTGTGAAATATATTAAAAAATATCCATACTACATATACTCTCTAAAATGCACTTTGTCTAAACTTCTAAAAAAGCCGCTAAGATGACCTTTATTAAAATATTTAATCAGACATTTATTGCCTTATAAAGCTATTTTTTAAATTTTAAATAAAATTTAATGCCCTATTCTTTAAATTTAAACATAATTTTCCGTTTAAACATTCAACTCTAAATATCCATTCTAATTATTTTTAAGTAAACAAAATATGAATTTTTGGGATCTTGAGGATCTCGAACACGATACCGCTAAAAAAGTATTATTTTCCTCAATAATTTCCATTCCTCCTAATTCATTATTATCATTTTATTTCTTCATTTTCTTCTATATTATTTTCAATTTCTTCCAAATTATTATTATTTATTTCTTCATTTTTTTTCTATATTATTTTCAATTTTTCCAAATTATTACATATTAATATTTATTTTTTCATTATTTTCTAATTCATTCTTATTATTATTATTGAGAGAGGCTTTAAGGCTAAAGCGCCAGGGATTTGTTTAAAAAGGGTAACTATAACCAAATTTTAGATGTTTTTAAAATTACTTTATTTAAATCTTTTATTATATGCATATTTCAATATTGAAATATTTGCCAAACCAAAATCAAAAAAGGGAGCGGCTAGCACGTCAAAAACGATCATAACATCGTTCGGTAATTTATAATAATTATAATAATCAGTCTGAGAAAAATATGGGAAATATATATTATTATCACTGAAAGGCCCAATCAAGACTCTCCGAGTGATTGGTTCATTCTTATCCATATCCATTGAGCAATTAGGGACAAAACAATAATTTTCGTTATAATTAGTCTTTAATTTCCAAAATTAGTTTAGAAGATAGTAGGTCATTTTTTAGACGTTCATAACTTTAAGTTATGTCATACCTTCGTGGTAATCTATGAATGATGATTCAAATCAACTGTACATCTATTTTTGTCGAGGAACTGTTGTCTCGAACATAGAGATCTCGAACATGGAGACATCTCGTTTCAAAAAAATTAAACATTAACAGGGCCTGACGGTTCCAAATTTTTATTTATTCCGGATTTAGGATCCGTGTTTAGGAAACGGATCCCGTAATAAAACAGATAATTCTACATATATGTTCATACTTGCATAAATTTTGATTCTTTAGCTGGAATAACAGAAAATGATCTTGGCAATAATTATGAACAGGCATTCTTTGGAAGTGATAAAGAGCAAAACGGAGAAAATTGGAAAACATTAATACGAAAAAACACGGCATTTTTGTTAAACGAGAGGATTAATGCTGCTTTAAAGAAAATTGAGGCAAACAAAAAATTGCCGAAAAAAGCTGTTAAAGGCTTGTCCGAAGAAGCGGTCAATGAAAAAGAGAAAAAAGAATTTGAAAAAATTGTAGAGAGTTTTAAATTGGTGTATAAAGAATTTGTGGAAGAGAATCAAGACAAAATAGATACTGAATGGAGGATTATGTTGAATTTATTAGAATATGAAAAATTCTTTGAAAATTTAGCCTCGGAAAATCCCTTGAATAATAAGAATATATTAATCAATGAAGAGTTTGAATCACTCGAATCAAATCTATATGAGATTGGAGGTGATGAATATGACAACTTAGAGGAACACTTTAAACAATTATTAGCCAACTTGCATTTTGAAAGGTTGAAATTCACTAAACAAATTTATTTTATTTAAATGATTGAGTACTCCAGGGGATATACTGGAACTTAGCAGGGATGCCACAATTTAAACAGAAAATGTAAGGCATAAGAAAACGAAGCAAAATAAGATGCGGTAGATGAAACGCAGAAACAGAACGGCCAAAAAAGATGCAATTTGCGGAATCGAAAGAGGCCCTTCCATGGTACTTAGTTCGTCAATAAATCGGAATTCTGTAGAAGGCTGAAGCGGAAAAGATCCCATCCCTGGTACTTAGTTTAAGTCGTTTAATGTTCTAAAGCTAAAATTCCATAAATCCACCCTCTCTCTCGTAGAATATGGGCTCTAAAACACTTTTATAACATTGGCGCCAAACTATCTAGAAAAAATATTCAAATAGAGAGGTTCGGAGTCTGATAAGTAATTTATTTGTGAAAGATATACGTTAATAAATTAATCCTAGATTGGATAAATTACTTCCCGAACTATTCAAAAAGGCTATTAATTCAATGAAAACTCAGAACAACGGTCAAGTGAATATTGGCGCCCTTCTTGAAGTAAAGAAGAAAATTAGAAATGTGCTTGGAGATTTATTTTTTGCTAAGTTTGAATTAAAGGATCCATTTCTGTTTAGATTAGGTATTTATCAAAATAATAATAAATATTTCTTATAAGGCAAAAAGTTGTAAATTTTTTATTCTCAATTTTTATTCATAAGGAAAATTTTTATAAGTAATTTTATTCATACTTAGGTTGTGTCATAAATAATTAGCCCCCCTTGATAAAATAAATTAAATATTTATTAAAATTAAACTAAATGTTTTCAGACTTCGAATTATATTTTTCTATGATCCTAAGAGAGTTGCCTATTTTCTGGCAAAAAATCAGAATCCTAGGATTAGGTTGGCCGGAGTTAGAGGTAAAATACTAAAATGTGTATTATTGAAACAAGGCAAATTCTTTTTGATTTTTCTTTTCAAAATTGATGAGTAAGAATTAAAATTTAAATAGATTCTGATAGAGCAGAATCTGATGAATACAATGATATAAAAAATTCCCCTGGAAAACAACTGGCTGGTTTTTTGAAGGGTCGCATTTGTGAAATAGGGACTAACATTATGCTGCTTTAGGATAATCCCCTTGAGATATACATTTTCAAACTTTAATGATTTAAGGGGGGCTAAATATTTATGACACAACCTAAGTAATTTTATTCATAATTCATATTCATAAGGATTCCCAAAATTTTATTCATAAGGAACTTATGTTGGACGTTTTGCTCCACTTTTAGCAATTCAAATTCATATTATTTTTTTGGTATTATTGAGAAATACCGAATAACTTCCAGGCCATAGGAAAATCGAAAAAGGGGAGAATTCTGTAAGAAAGTATTTAATATCGTAAAATCTGATCATCTACAAATTTCTAGAAAACTTCATCGCTATTAATTTTTAGATATTGTAGAAGAAAGCGAACAGATTCGGCTTTTTGTCCGTCTGTTATCCAATGTTCCAGATTATAGTAAATTATCAAAAGAATATTTTATGTTATTTAATTCTACTGCATTCAGTAAAATTTCGAAAATTGATAAAATATATTCTGAAAATATTTGGAAGAATTCATTTCTTAAATATTTCGATAAATATTTCAACACTCAAGAAATGTATCACCATAAAGAATTTTTAAATCAAAAAATTGGCGGTAAGCAGGTCAAAGAATTTGAAAAGGACGAAAAAACTATGATGAAAGTAAAATTGTTAAAAATGTGGAGAGCTAAATCACCTGAAATAGTTCCATTAAAACAACTTTTTGAAGCACATAATGGTGCTAGATATAGTTTATTAGAACTGTTTAGTTCAAAATCGACAGAAGGAGAAAATATTTTTGAAGCGAGTGACTATCTCTACGATCTTTTACAAATAGGTATTAAAGTTAACGAGTTAACGTATTAATTACTTCAGTTAATCCTGGAGTGGTTAATTAATATGGGAGTGGTCAAAAAATTGAAAAATGAAATAATAGAGTAAATATTGAAAAATCAAATATTCTGTAGACAAAGACCGGAAATTAGAATCGTGGGAGGGTTTTAATACCAAGGCCGGATATTAGGATCATTAGGAATTTGAGATTCCGAATGATATTTAGATAATTGGTATCCGGTTATATCATAATACAAATAGTAGTTCCTTTAGTTCCAGCCCCCTCCGCACTAATAATCGAATATATAATAGCCCCACCCCCACCCTGATTAGTACATTCCAATAACTAAACCTGTTTCCCTATCGAGAGGGTCAAAAATGTCACAGAGGTCAATTTTTAGTTTTACGGTTTTAAGAAATTTATTGTATGTACATACATATGTCTGGTAATATTATGTAATAAAAAAAAGGATTTACTCAAAAATTTTAAACAAAATTTAGGACCAGCGGAACTGGATAACTGGATAATTTCTAATTACCAGCTCTTATTAAATGAGACAGAATATATAAATTACGAACTTCGAACAGTTGTATCAATTGTTCTGATACAAATAAGAGAGTGTGATAAAAATATTTTGAAGTATGCCGATGAAACGGAGTGGAAGATTCTAAAAGCACTAATTCTGTCCATCATGGACCAAATGTCGGGAAATAAAGATGTTATAAATTGGAACAATGCAGAAAAAATTCTAATTATTTTAAAAAATATTAGAGAGAAAATAGCAGAAAAGAAAATATTTAAATTATACGATTTGATTAAAGATGATATGGAAAAAATTATTAAGCGGGATAAAGAAGACGCAGTAACAAGCTATCATCCAATGCTGGAGGGGAATACAATTGATGACTATATTAGAGAGTTGAATAAAAATACAATCAGAGATTTGATGGTGAAAAATGGGGATTTTAAACAAAAAATAATGGGTACGCTTAGTTAAATATTACCCTTTTTCAGATCGCTTAAAACTTAATGGGTCGGTGCCGAATCGGCCAAACTCCCTATTCAGGCGCGATGTAGTTCATATCGTACCTTTATATCCGTTTCGACTAAACTACACTTTCTGTACTTCGCTCAAAAAGGGCAATTCATATGCCCTTCGAAAAGCTCTTGAGCTTAGTCGAAGGACACCAAAATCGTCAAATCCGACTTGATGGTACCAGATCAGAAAAATATTTTTTAATATCAGAATAAAAGCTAGTTAATTTTTTAAATTGCAGATTTATCAGTATTAAAAAGAATGGAATTATTTTCATTGACCACTACAATCGAAAAAGTAAAACTTCAAATTTAGATAACTTAAAATATTTTTAATATTCTTAAGGTTTATCGAAAATACCCGGCACCTAGTACTAATTATGGAAAAGGTAAGATGAATATTTATATTGAAGACTTACTCTCAGATCAATCATATCTCAGATCTCTCAAATCATCTCACAGAACTTACTCTCAGATTAATACTCTTAGATCATCATAAAAGACTCTCAGATCAATACTCTTAGATCATCATAAAAGACTCTCAGATCAATCATCTCTCAGATCATCTCACAGAACTTACTTTCAGATCAATACTCTTAGATCAGCATGAAAGACAAACTCTCAGATCAATCATCTCTCAGATATCTCAGATCATCTCACAGAACTTACTCTCAGATCAATATCTTAGATCATCATGAAAGACTCTCAGATCAATCATCTCTCAGATATCTCAGATCATCTCACAGAACTTACTCTCAGATCAATATCTTAGATCATCATGAAAGACTCTCAGATCAATCATCTCTCAGATCTCTCAGATCATCTCACAGAACTTACTCTCAGATCATCATGAAAGACTTACTCTCAGATCAATCATCTCTAGATCTCTCAGATAATCTAACAGAACTTACTGTCAGATCAATACTCTTAGATCACATGAAAGACTCTCAGATCAATCATCTCTCAGATCTCTCAGATCATCTCACAGAACTTACTGTCAGATCAATACTCTTAGATCATCATGAAAGACTTTATTAAGAAAAATCGATACCCTCCCAGGGTTGGGTCTCCCGAAGGTCGAAAGACTTTCGGGAGACGCCCTGGGAGTTCGGTCCCTGAACTTAACTAAAAACTTTTAAACAAATCTATCAACAAAATATTTATTCAACACAAAAATGGGAAAGTTTAGTGGGGAGGGGGAGGAAGAAAAAGCTTTTTGTTCGGATAATACTGAAATTTTTTTGGGCTTTTTCTTTTCTTTTATAAAGCTGAGGAACGTTACTCAATAACAGCTGTCAGATCTATAACAGACTTACTCTCAGATCATAAATGTTAACCGATCTCTAGCAAAATATGATATTTGATGAGAATCTTATCCATTTATTTTCTAATAGTCTAATTCCTCTGTTCTTTCATGTGTCTTAAAGAGATAACCTTCCATGTTATTACAATGAAGCACTCCACTTAAATGAAGTGATAATTTTCTTTTTAGAGCCAAATATGATAAATACAATCTTTGATTCCATAGAAAGTTTGGCAATCAAAAAACCTGAACATATTGACCCCGAATTATTCATAAAATATGCTATTTACTACTATGAGGGAATTACTGATCTAATAATTAACAATTTAAATTTAAATCCGGATATAGAAGAAATTTTTATAAATGACATAAACGAATTTGAAGACAAATGGAATAAGTCGAAAATTATAAAGGTTGAAGGTGCGAGAGATTTTATTGAAAAGCTTGATGGAAAAAGTATGATTTTGAAGCAATTGGATATAAAAATTCCCAAATGGATTACTTTAGTTAACGAGCTAATGAAGATGGTAATATTTCTATGATTTTAAAATACACAGTACAAGTAGAGCTATTATAACATAGATAAGATACCTATATGGGATTCGATATTTATGAGATTCGATAATTAATAATAATGGAGCTGGCTCGGAGGCAGAGCCAAGAATTTGAAATGAACGCAGTCGGATCTAAAAGACTTCAAATACGAGCACTGCCTTTATTACTTGTGGAGCTTGTTGTTAGTAGGTCCATAAGAATACTGCTAGGTTGTTGTTTAAATAAGCCTTTTAAACCGTTGTTGTTACAAAGGTGTCCGGATAAAACTAAAGCTAAAGAAGTTATTTGCTTATGGATCAAGAGATTAAATTTGTTAATTTAGTTAAACAAAAATGTCTTGTACATAGTATATACCTATTTATTATAGGGCAGGGTTCTCATAGGAAAATAGGATAATTATTAGAGCTCGACATTTTCACTTTGCCGGGCCCGGTATCCGGGTTTTTTTCTTCCAAGTTGACCCGGGCCGGGTTTTCCGGGCTAAAACCTCGAAAACCCGGAAAACTCGAAAACCCGGTTTTTTTACACCCGGGCCCGGACCCGGTTTTTTTCAAAATTTTAAAAATGGACAAATTTTAGTTTTTTCGCTGAAATTTTTCTTATTTTAATAGAAAATGATTAAAATTTGGTGTCATCTTTCATCTATACGTATTTATTCAAAGGATTTAGAGATATTAATGTGAATTTAACTGATTAGGGGAAATATTGGTGGATTTGGGAGGATCTAGAGGGGTTAATGCGGATTTACAGGAATTAGATAGTGCCCAATATACCTCTAACTCCTCGTTATCCCTCTCTATAATCATTTAATCTGGGGATTTGTTAGGGTTATTGTGGATTTGGAAGATTAAGGTGGATATCGGGGATTTAGTTCGCGGGATAAAGTTGCGAAATTTGTGTTAAATCAATTTGAGTTAAATGATTTTGATTGGGTTGGTGCATAGATTCACATAAATAGCGGCAGAATCAGAGTCCCCTATGTTGTATTATGGGGGAAATGATTCTGAACCGAGTTATACGTCCAGAACTTTTACCACTGGTACACTACACTACAGACAAAAATTGTTTTAGAAAACTAAAAAATTTATTCTATTCAGGAAATTTCCAAAAATATGGAGGAATATGAAAAAATTAAGAAAAGGATATACCTTAATTATTTTGAATGGGTATTTGGATGTTCTCAAACATTGCGTGCAACTTTTGGCGCATATAAGGAAAGGGAAATGTTAAAATTAAAAGTACGCTTAGTATATCTTCTTGGTGAAGAAAATTTAATTAAATTAGAAGAAGCTCAACCAAAAGCATTACGAATTGGTTATTATTTTTAATCTATTGTTATTTTTTAGTTTCATGTGCTTAAAATTATAATTATTTGAGAAGGCCTAAGGGTCTTCTCCTATTCACAGGGTCTTCTCCTATTTCTCTCCACAGTGACAGAATGTCATATCATCACAGCATTTGAAGGTTCGCTGAAATTTCCTCAGGCTAAGCCTGGCCTGTCCGACCGCGCCATTTTCATGTCCGATGTTCATGCTGTGGAAAAATTCATTGGATGGGAGATGGAATTGAACCATCATGGAATGAGCCCAGACCGAAGCACAACCGATTGTGCCACCATCCAACCCGATGATGGGTTATTTATTTTCATTTATATTCTTCCTGCAAGTGCGGACACAACATTAAAGTATCTGTTGTGATCGTCGACTTAAGCGGGGCATAAATAGACAGACATAAGTTTTGTAGTAATCAAGGACTACCAATGATTTTAATTATAAACTTACGAGACCTCATGCCAAGACAAAGACCTGTAGGTCTTGGCTATTGATATAGTTGAATAAATATTGATCTTGCAGATATGATGGAAAAAAAAGTTAAAGTATATCTCTATGAAAAATTTTTGAGCAATGACATGTACTCAAAAGAAGCACAAAATGCAGAATTGAGAATTGCAATTGCAATACTGACAAAAGATTTGGATGAAATTACTAAGGAATCAAGACTTCTTATTAAGAACAACAAACTATTTGATGATTCTGGTTTCAATGCTTACACTATAAAGCTTAGGGAGGTGTATTTTTATGCCAGAAAAGCACAGGCTACATTAGAGGAAAATCTTCAAAAGGAAAATAATTTGCCTAAAAGTGCTTGTGTGTTGATTAAATCCTTGATTTATACTTTGTTATCGATGCAAGACATAATAAATTCTAAAACTATTACAAATGCCAAATTTGAGCATTTATTCAACAAAATAAAAAAATTAAAAACAAAAAGTGAGCTCGAAGTAAAATATGATTTGTTAGATTTGAATGATTTTTACTCCAAATGCGATGATACAAATGAAAAAGATGTTGCTTTAATTGAACAACGCTTATATTTGGAAAGTTTTCATCAAGAATCTGCAAATGATCCAAAAATTAAGGAATTATTGAAGATTCCTGGAAGGAAGAGTAAAATGGCGAGTTTGGTCCCAAATTTTAAACTAAAATATTTTATTGAAAACGATCCATTTGTGGATGATAATCAGTTGAGAGAACATTTTTGGGAAGCTATTTTAAGTGATGATGATACTACGAACTTAAGAGGAATTTTCGCTTTAAAGTTTTTTGTTTCCATGAGGTGGATACACGGAGAAATTAAAAAATTGGAAGAGGAACATCCAAAGAATCGCAAGGTTGAACAACTGAGCTTAAATTTTAGAAAGAAAAAGGGAATAATTGGAAGCCGATACGATAAGATTTTCTTGTTGGATTTTAATGTGATTGAAAAAAAGCAAGTCAAAATAATCGAAAAACTCGAGAAGGAAGTCAGAGAAATTATTTCAGAAATGAAAAAGACAAAAGCACATACTGATAAGGAAGTTGAAGCAATTGAGGAAAGCATGAAAGATTTTAGTAAATGGATTCAAGATTTAATTTACGATGAGTTGAGTAGACAGCTTGTTCTTAAAGAGGCCTGGGTAGCTAAAATGAAACCTGGACATGACAATAAAGAGAAGAAGGAATTTGCTATTGAATTGAGAGATGGTAAAATATTTCCTAAATTTGGTTCCTAAAAGTGTACCTAAGGATTATACCTACAAACATGTGCCTTTAGTAAAAGTAACT